GCCTTGGCTTTCTTGCTAATTATGCCAGGAAAACTTCTGTTTATTACGTTCTGTCTTCATCAAACATCTGTCTAATTTTTCTCGCAGCGCTGCAGCAGCCACTCTGGTCTGCGTTTTACCCAAAACAAATTCCAGGAACTTACTTTCTCCTTGACTTATTCATCATTTTCACCACCAAAGTACAACCACAAGGACGTGAGACTGACAGGCCGTGAGGTGAGCTGCGGAAAGACAGACATTTCGACTCACTACTTGTTACATCCTGCAGGAACCTGACCACCGGCCAGAGCTGGAGACGGCAATCGCACACGTGAATGCAAATAAGCAGCACACACAGGTCGATAAAACCACCACATTGACTGCCACCACCACAAAACAAGGCATGAAATACTGCATCCTCACCGCCAGCACATGAATCATGGCAGTATGACATTGCTCGGGGCCTGCAGCCAGAATCTAAGCGCCCCCCTTTCCAATCTTTTCATCCAAGCCAGCCCAAAACACCCCCCATCTTTCCTCGTGTCTCATAAATGGGCCAGGCTGCTTTACCAGAAGCTGACAGGGAGCCTGGAGGAGGAACAGAACTATTATCTCTCTCTCAGCAGCAGCTCACTCAGGAGTTCCAACAGCCGATTCTCAAACAAGCGGCTGTCCTCACTCTCTTCTCTTCCCAGTCTGTCCTTGCCCTGCCACACCATTACTTGTGCTACTATAGTGATAGTTTACTGAGTCCCATGGCTCCCTTGGGCCACGGACAGCTGTGACAGTGTGTCTGATAACATATACAACGTGTCCATGTTTGAGTCAAACAACATGTGTGGTTGTTCCAGTTTTCTAACAGAATAAATTAGAGGAGCAGCTTGTAAAAATATAGACATTTGTAAACCAACCTAGTGACATGTCCCATCATATCATCACAGTGATCTTGCCGTCCTCTGTCCTTCTGAAGTCTTTATGTCACTATTTGTATTTATATTTTCATTTAATTTGGAATGACAGTGTTCCATATAAAGTTCACTGCAGTTTAATAGCTGTAAATGGAGGCTGGACAACAGTTCTATCTGCCAACAGGGGTCTCTGCAGGAAGACTCTTGTCACCAGGTGATTTTCAGAATAAAATTCTCTTTATGCCTAACTATTTTCAGTCAGTTTTAAACTCCTGTCATTAAGTTTGTGTTTACACTGGCTCTTTGTACTCTGTGGATTCACTGACAGATGTCTAGACGTCTCTATGCACTCACCTGTCAACTGTATCGTTTGATTATTTGTCAGCTCAAAATACTGCTTCAATATGTATAAAGCTATTATTTATCTAAATTAGCCATCCTGTGAAAAGGGCAGAGTTATTTAGGTCTCACTTCAGAAATGTCACTGTAAAACATGACAGTCGGGGGAAAAAGCCTAAATAAATAGCTGTGATCTCTCTGAGAGAGAGTTTCTCACTGGACGGACGGACTGACTGAAGTTTTACTACAGTATGCTCTGACCACATGTTTCCTTTTTTATGTGACTCACTGTCTGGAGAAGAATTTATTTATATAAACTTTGCCAATACAAAAGGAATAAAAAAAGCAGAGGACTGACCAACATCTTTCCTTTCACTGAACATGTTGCCAATGTCAGGGGAGGAAGAACTTTCCAGATCTGAATATTTGATGCCTTAAAGTGACTTCTGCCACCATTTTTTTTTCACTTGGAGAAAAAGCAAAAAATGTTCAGCCATGTGTTTTATCAGGCCTCCATGTTTGTTCTAAACTGACTGAATCATGTTCAAAGCAGCTGCAGGAGTTGTGCAGAGGTTGCATCATTGCATTACATTATCTCCAGGTTGCTTTTCCTACCTACCAGACAGACACTTAGTTTACGGCCCGTTACCGACTCACAGCCGGAGGACCAGGTGAGTCAGGCCATAAGGTTGATTCACACCTGCTGCGGTCCTCAACAGGGTACGGGATCAAACTGGACCAACATCAGCCGAAGGTGGGAGAAAATAACAGAGAGCCAACTCTGCATGTGTGTTTGAATGTGCACACATTTATTATTACAGATTAACAGTCGACCAGTTGTCGATTGTCAATTGTCGAACAGTCGTTCTAGAGATCAACGTTGTGTGAGAAGGAAAAGGAAAATCAGAAGGAAAGGAACCAAAAGAAATTGTAAACCTGATGTCTGAGTTCTAATTTTCTCTTCACACTGTAGAATCAATAGTTTCTGCGACATTCTTGACTGAACCTGCTGGAGCGTGATCCTCAGCCTAATGTACCCACAAGTTTCCATCTGTTGGGGAAACAGATCTCAGTGGGCCTTTTCCACTCTGACAAAACACAGGATAGACAAGGCACACACACACACACAAAGTGATGCTTTTTATTGGAATTCCAAGAGCACTGCAACACAGGAACACTGACCTTCAACTTTACAGGATGCTGTGACTCTCCAACGCTTCTTACCCACAATTTCTATCATGAAAAAGCCAATTGTGTTGTTGGTGTTTCATGTCATACTTAAGTTGACCTCCAGGTGCACAGATGCTCAGTTTTGTTCCTCCTTCCACGTCAAGCAGACGGACAAACTTTAAAGATCTACCACGTTTACTTCCACCTTATCCATCACAGCCACCCTCCTTCCTTAAACACAAAACAACAATTACGAAGGCATTTTCCTCCAAGGTGCATTTAAACCATCCCACATTGGCACATTATGAAACGCCTTTCTTCAACGAGATTGAAAATCCCTCTGTGATCAGACTAATGTTGTTGTTGTTGTCATCTGCTGCTCCTGCTCTCCACCCACACCCAGACTCCTCCTGCGTCTCTCCGCTATGTAAAGAATGAATGTCATCTCCTGAAGACAATGGCTGGAACCACAGTATGGGTATTTAACTGCACATTTTAAACACTAGACAGATATTAGGAACGTCGTGCCATCAGTGACAGAGGAGAGAGAGAGAGAGAGAGAGAGAGAGAGAGATCAGACGTGAAATCGGCTGCAGTTGTTCAGAAAATGGTTAAAGCAGGAGAGAAAGCAGCTTTCCACAGACGGCTTTAAGCTTTAATGAGCTTGGATAAACTCTTGTGTTCAGGAGTGGGATGGAAACAGAGACCAAAGTGGGCACCAGCTGCACTCTGGCCAAATTCATCACCCACATGGCTTTATCTAGTCTGCTGTTTGCACACAACTTTCATTCATCAGCCTGCTCTTAACAGAGCTGACTAACAGCACCAGTCGCCATGAAGATGATAAGCAAGAACTGAAATTAAAATTGTCTCTATTCACAGCTCCAACGTCCATCATTCACTGCTCTTTTTCCGTCTAATGGAATAAACCTTGGTAAAGCAAGAATGTTAACAGGCAGATGAGACATCTTTTACTTTTGTACACAGCATACTGTATTTCAGACTGTATTTGTATTGATTGGTCAGAGAAAACAGCTATGTGAGCTAACCAAAGAAGAGATAGAAAGAACTATTCCAACTATAGAAATCCATCTCAACACACTGATACTCCGTCACAGACTTCACTATGAGCAGAAGGTGGAGGTTTTCACACAAATGTAAGGAAGGGAAAGTGAACTACTTGTCCACACAATATCCTGTGACCTCTGCATTGTACCCATCACCAAAGTGAACAGGGGGGCAGCTTAAGGAAGGAACGGTGCCTTGCTCAGAGCACCTCAGTGTTAACTTAGCAGGTGGACTTGAACCTGAAACCTTCCGGCCCTAAGTCCGCTTCCTTAACCACCAATCCACCACAACCTCTTTTATTGGCTTCATCAACAGCGCAACAACATGTGATTATATTTAGGGTATTTTTTTTATATAAAATATATCACTAATCCCAAGTATTTGTAGCCAAATGTATTTTTAACATTTGGGATAAAATTGTATTCACCATTGGATGAGACTGTTTAGGGTAATGAAAGTTATCTACAGACAAATTAGTATTTTAATGATGTGAACAACAAGCAGTGACATTATACTGGTTTAACTGTGCACAGTGAGAGAAAATTGAAAGAAGAAAAAGACAACTGCAACTTCCTACGACTCTAGCCCATGTTTAAGTACAACTACATAAGACTGGAGAGTTAAAAAACATATAAGTATTATACAATGAAGTCACTGGGAAACTGGTCACAGGCAAATAGTAAAAAAGTAGTGTTAAAACAGAAAGGAGAACACACAGGAGGTAGACAAGACAAGAAACAATCTGTGTATCCTGGTCGCCCTGTGCACAAGACACACACACAGCAAGTTCAAAGTCTCTACCAACAATATCTGTTTTCTTCCTTCAACCACTGGAGCATTAAATAGGTGTCATCCGGTTCATAAACCACTGGGCCACACATATCCCAACGCAAGCGGAGGAAAGGTTAAGAAACAAAATCACAACAGGGAAGGATTTAAAACGTGGTTTTCTTTAAAACCTATAAAAGCAGAAGAGCGGGCAGAGAGGAGAAAACTCCAGCACTAACTGGTACAACACTGTCAGTCAAACTTCCACAAACACAACATGGCTTTTCTCTTCAAACACTGCAACACAATCAAAGAGAATCACATCCAGCACGTCTGCAATGACGCTGCTGCGAGACCAATGTGTTAAACTGAAATGAAGGGAAACTGAGCATTTACTGTACAGATGTGTGTAACACCACAGAAGAGGCATCACCAGTGCAGTATTAAGACGTACTATAGTCCAGTGTTTCCCAAACTTTCTTTCTGCTGACCCATATTTTAAAAGTCAATAGACATTATTTGTTAACTCAATAATATATCAGCAATATTTTTTGCATCCCACCCGAGGGTTGCGACCCAGTCTTTGGGAAACAGTGCTATAGTCTATCATTGATACAGCGTGAAGCAAAGCACAAAACCATTAGATTTACTGCTACAAATAATGTTCTTTTTAAAACTGTTTTGTCAGTTGAGTCCTGACAAAACAGTCATGGAGGACTGTATTTGACACTTCTCAGTACAACTGGGCAGTACAAACAAAAATGGTACCTGAGATTTCCTGGCGGTTGATTAGAAGAACTCATTGAATCTCTCTGGCTTGGTTAGCTGAAGTGTCTCCAAGAGTGACACTTCCACACCAAACATTTGAGCAGGACATTTGACCTCTATGTACTCAAACAGGAAGTGATGCCATTGGTAAAAGAGAATAACATATTTGTAAAAAGTCCAAGGACATCTGGTGGACAGATGAAAGAATGCAGGAGAATATTCTTGTTATTTCCCAGGATTCACTGACTTGTGTGAATGAAATTTCTTCATTTTCCTCACTTTTTTCAGTTGTACCTTTCCCCCTCAGTCACTCGTCATTTACCATATGCACGTGTGAATTTGCATATTCCTTGAGCAGTGATGGTTTGTTTGTATGTATGAGATACAGGAGGGTCTCCTGTATCTCATACATACTGTATACTCAGTATGTGCTCCCGTGTTTGCTAATATAATACGCTCTCCACCAACTCTTAAGAGAAACATCCGGCTCATTAGCTGCTTAATGCTGCCCTAGTTCACGGGCTAGATGTGAACTCCGTCTTTGTGCTGCTAGTAACTCAGCAGGAGGCGAACAATGATGTTGTTAGCATTGTTTTGCTAAAGGACTGCGTTGTAAGCACTATGGATGAGTCTGTCTTCACACAAACACTGGATGCTTAGAGGCCATCGTTCACATCTGAAGAAAAAAAACAGACATTAAAGTGGCCTTTACCCTTGGTATTTGATTAGCAGCTAAAATAGCATATATTATTACTGCCTGAAGTTTTTTTTTTTACTTTAAGAACAATATACTTTTCATCCGTTTGCTGTTGTGACCGGACACTAAATGAAATTTGCTTCAACAAAGCTCTGCAGGATGAAAGAGCCCTGAATCAGTAAATAAGATAACTTGTCACAGATGTGCCGGTGGGCAGATTTAATGGCTAATCAATTAAAGGCCTTACAAGGTAGTCTGTGTAGGTTTAACCGGGGAAAGGTCATCGGCTTTCACAGATTGCTTGGATTTGGCTTCATAATCTCATTTGAGTGCGTCTGGCTTGAACAAGAGTCTACCCCACAACCTCTGCCATTCTAACAACTACTAAAGTGCCTGCATAACTTTTCATTTTCTTCTGAAGATCCCTGTATCTACAGAAGGTAAGCGATTGGCCACCGTCCCCTCTTGACCTTTAAATTTGGAACTTCTCCTCTGGTAAATGCAGTAATCAGGTTTCCTCAGTCTTTAGCCGAGCCTAATTGAAGATCCTCTACTGAGAACTCAATTGTGCAAGTGTGATTTACTCAGTGACTGACCTAATTAAAGTCCTGGAAATGACCTCAAAAGTTCCGTGTGGCATTAATCAGCTAAGGCACTTCATCAAGCCACCAAAGTACACTTCCACGCAGATTAAAAACTAAAGTGTAGGAGGGCGTGCTGTGAGGCTGACTTTTGGGTCTGCAGCTCAGCTCTGACAGGATCAGCCACACGGTGATCAAATGACAGACCTAATCCTACCTCCGTGTTGGACCCCCCGTGTCTGCCGCTATCCTGATAATGCACACGTTCCTCATTTCCACCCAAACGTGTGGTTCAAACACTGGGGCCGGAGTTGTTTTTAGAGTTACACCCAACATCATCTCCATGCTTGAGGGGCTAGGCTAGCTCTAGATGGTCTCCCACAGCCTTCTGCAAATGTTTGCCTAGATCTGTGGGGTTTATTCATGCAAGTTTGGATGGCAGCATTCCCCTATGTGTTCCGGCTCAGAGCTATTCAACCATTAACGCCTGTGCCTTGATCAAATGGTTTGGTCCAGGTCTTAGAATCCTGGCTCTGAGCCCATGACTGACTTTGCCTCATCAGAAACATTTATAATGCACTTTTAAATATCTTCATCCTATATTCCTTCATCTTAACTTACCGTTAAAAGGAAGTGTTAAATCTGGGTTTTGCCCATCCAACCCTGCCCCTAGCAACAGTAGTCTGTTACAACAGGTAGTTTAAATAAAGTCAACCAACAACATAACACACTTTGCATTTTTCATCAATGAAGTCTCTGCAACATCACATAAAGAGCCATCCATCAGCAGTGAGTTCTGTCTCTCTACCTTCCACAATCTCCTTTGTGCCCCTGGTGCTCAGTGCAGTTGTTTTGTCTTATCACATTTCCACACAGTCCCCGTTGCAGCTTTGACAAATTTAAAACACTGCCTTTGTTCTTGGTGCTTGAAAAGGCAGAGCAGGAGGAACGAGACCTCAGAGAATCGCAGTGCCATCAGTGCTAATGCAGGCACGCTCCATCTGCTGGGGACGGCAGCGGCAGACGCCAAGGAGGCATCAATCCACACACGCAACACACTTTACAGGAAGTTACACGTTGCTGTGGGTGCAGAGCAAATCAGAAATGAGACGTTGTTAGTTGGAGCACCAATCGGCGATCATGTTTGCATACTCTTCTAAGGTGAGCTACAGTTACAGCCCTCTTCGTCGTCTGGCTGATTGGACGGCTGTTCCTGTCTTAGCTTACAGGGACAGTGTGGGGTGGGGGGGGGGTGTTTGCACATATGTGTAAGATGATACTTAGGTTGTTAGCAATGAAGACTTTTGTTTTTGTTGTTGACATTTTTGCTGTTAGCAATATAGTTGGTTTTTTTTATAAATTTGACAAAGATGTATTTCAGTTGCTTAAAATTTTAAATTATTTTAGAACTGTAAGACTGGTGTACGATGTGTTTTCAAGTTAAGACCCAGGAAGGCAGTTACATACAAGCTGCACTACAAAAAATGAAGACAGTGTTGCTGGTATAAAAAAATAAATAAATAAACATGGAACTGTTTCCACAGCTGGTCTCCTGCTAGCACTGACTCCAGTGGATTTGGACCTTCTTTGTGAATCCCTAATCAGTCAATAAGTACGTGTGCCAATCTTGGATTTACTCTTTCATTTTCATTCCTTTTTTCCTTCCAAAATAAACCCACCCACATCTTTCTCAGCTTCCTGAAAAGACCAGACTCTTTCAACACCATTTTACTGCTTATAGATTAATGTGGCCAGTTTCAACACTTGACTGCATTCATTCAACATGTTTAATGATGCATAATTAGTTGTATTCCCAAATGAGGACATTTTAAGGCTGTATCAATCGATTTGATAATCATTTTAACTGACACCATTAATTATTCTGCACTCTATGAAAATTATATGACTTGATGCTGAGTTAAACCCAAGCCAATATTCTGCACATAGCCTTTGGTGGAGAAAGGCATAAAACAGAACCAGTAGAATGAATTAATATTCATTGACCAGCACAGAGAACATTTTTTATTCTATTTACCAGAGCTCTGCAATTGATCTTTCAGTAGAGGGCATCGGTCACCAAAAGAAGAAAGTGACAGTGAAGGCAACAGTTTCAGACTTCAAAGGTCAATGTTGACTAATTTGTTTGTTGATGGGTCAGTGAGAAGGGTCATGAGCCTGCAGCAAGAGGTCAGATGTCAAGTTTGTGCAAACACACGATCCGCAGTGGCTACTGTCAGGAGGTGAGATGTCTTCAGCAGAATCACATGAGTGCTATCTCTGAACAAATATGTAAAAATACAAAATAATAATATAAATAAAATATAAAAGTACATATAAAATGCACAAATATTTGCAATTTCCTCATAATAATTTACTTAAATCAACAACAGCAATTTTATTGGACTTTGCTCTGTCAACTGTGGGTGAAGCTGTGAGACTCAGTCAAAAGCCTTGGGTGATGCTAGATTTCAATCAGATATCAACCCTACCCACAATGCCTCTGCAACAAAAGGGTCAAATGAATTAGAAATGTTGCTGTCAAACAGCGTCATGAAACAACAAACCCTACAACTCTTTCACATTCCTGCAAATGTTTCTACTTGTCCTGTCTGTGTGAGTGTTTCTAACTCTGGCTGTGCACAAGAGAATACTGCCTAGATCTGCACTGGCTGCTGGCAGCACGCAGTGTTTTTTATCACTCCATTACCTCCGTATTGATTGAAAGGTGGGATTTGATGTGTTAATCCGCTCACGCTGGTGAAAGATTCCTGTCTTTAGAGACACTAAACACACACAAGCCAATCGCTGGAGTGAATTAATCAAGTGAGAATCCTACAAAGCTCCTCGTTCACCTTGCAGCCCTCAGAAAGCCTTTGATCAAGAAATGCTTAGGTTTCACATAAATGGTTGGATACCTTTCAGAGACCACACGGAGCACACAGCAGCTTTGGAGATTTAGGCCACTTTAATGCTTGTTTGCAGAGCTTCTCTTTGGTATCTGAGCCAACACGTTAGCAGAGGTGCACAGCCAGTTAGGAAGTGCCACACAAGTAGGTATGAAGGTAGTGAACCCAGGGCAGATGACTTGAACTTGTGATAGAAATACCTGAACATATCTGAAGTGACAGGGTTACATTCAATAAATGTTTAACCAGGAGTGACTAGGAAGTGATTGGTCTGTGACGGTTCTCAGTCATTCACCGAAGCCTGGAAGAAATGAAGAAGCGAGTAACAGGACCAAGATCCAACAGTCAGTATCAACACTGTCAGGTGAATATGGATCATGCAGGTAAAGTATGAAATTTAATAAAATATTCAGAGACAATTTAGAAAAAAAAATCCAAATACATCAATATTTTCCAACCTCTGTTCAGTACTCCTGTAAACCAACACCCTCTCTTGATGATGTCATCACCATCCCTGCTCCAAAATCACCAAATGTTAGTTTATTGCGTTTGAAGAATTATATATACAGTTGCATCCTTTATACTTTTTAAAATTAAATGACATCAGATATTTCTCAGAGTACCATCAAATAACTTCCACTCCTATGAACATGTTTTGTTTTTATTAACTCTGCCCTAGTTCTGAGAACACAGACACATCTGTTGGGAAATGTGTCAGTATTAGCACAAATCTCCAGGTCTGATAATTCTTTCAGACATTCCAGAATCACAGTGTGACGTCTTCACGGAGATGGTTTCTGTTTTTTTCTTTCTGAAAATCTCTAAATTATTCACTTGTGCTTCATAAATCTCCACAGTCTGTTTGCTGTCATTATCAAACCTGTCGTGTGGCTGCACCAGCTTTGTTTAAATTTGGACAGCTACCTCAGACGGTCTTCTCATTGTTGAAAAAAAAAAAAAAAAAGAAAACCTTTCCGTAGCTATTTTTTTTGTCACACACATTTTTTGTTCACAGGATACGACACATGCTGGCTGCTTATGTCTCATGTTTACACAAGGTAAAGTGTTGAGGTCATTTTTGCCACTGCATAAGACTGCGACCATGAACCCCCTTTAATCACAGGAGTCAGACTAACTGCACCTCCTGGCCACAAA